GACAGGATCATAAAGCCTGTTTAAAAAAATATGTTCTACATTTTTAGGTTCTTTACAATGAGCATGTATTTTCACAATCAGGAAAAAATATTAAAATGTATTTCACTTCAAATCAAATTGTTTGGTAGAGAAAACAGTCTTAACACGTTCACAATAGGGCCGTAATTTTTGTATCTCGCGGCTGGGAAGTTCTGAACCACCTGTAGGACAGTCATCCAAGTGCCACTGGTGGTTCGAGCCAGCAGGAATGTATTATAAGTTATAGGTGTTATGGCTCACACTTGTAATTCCAGCTTCAGGAAGGCTGAGGCACAGCCCCGAGTTCAAGCCCAGACTGGGCCACATAGTGAGTTTAAGCCCAGGCTGGATTACATAGTGAGACTCTGTCTTGACTGAATAAATAATGTATGTAAAACTTCATGAGAGCGTGAAATAAATATTATAGTGCAAAGAACAAAGAAACTGAGTTGCTGGGGTAGAAAAGCTGTGAGTTTTGACTTCTAGCAATGTGAAACAGGTGGATTTTTATTTCTTTTGTGGTTGTTTTTTTCTTCAAACCTACTTCTACTTCTTAAAACTGCTAGAAGTAGTTTTCAAAGTACAAATACAGTGTTCATATTATTTAGCTCGTATCTATAAAGTTGTTACTTTGATCTTTAACCACTCACCAGCCCAAGTATTTAAATAGAGGATGATCAAAAATTGCCTATTTTGTTAACTTTTAGAAAATGTAACAGGATAAATAAAGCGACAACTTAATCGCATGTATTCAATGTAAGAAATGACTGGCTGAAATGATACCTGCCCTAGGAACACTCAGGAAAGTCAGTTTGCAAATGAACACACTGCTCAAGTGATGTTCGTGGTTAAGTTGTTCAGTGATTAAATAGTCTGTTTTCTAACAGCAATTATTCTGAAGAGTTTAATTTCAATTCCCAAAACTTACTGCTCTAATTTAAACACATATTCCAAATGGTTGAGGAAAACGTTAAAATCTGGAAGAGGTTCATTTTAAAGTTAGGGAACTGGAAGCATCTGAATTCTCAAATGCCATTTAATAGCAGAACTTGACTAAACAGAAAATTTGACTCTAACATTTTTCAAAAAGTCCCAATCTTCACTTGTTAGCATGCCACTTAAGAAAAAAACGAAAAATTTAAAACTTGAATCTTTTCTCATTAAATAAGGGAACAAAGCATTAGTTACTCAAGGGGTGGGCTTAGGTCAGGGTGGAAATGCTTGTTCTTGATAAAGAAACCAAAGTTTTCTTCCACATTCTTGATGATTAATAAAAACAATCTGAACAATATAAATGTACATAACCAGGATGGGTTCATAACAGGTAACAGTGACCACTACAGGGAAAAATATGAGTGTGAAGAACTGGGGCAGGTCAGCATTTGTACTTTAAATATCTATCATTAGTAGGGTAGACAAAGTTCCATTCCACTGCTGTCTTAACACCAACCTACATGAACATGAAATTCAAGAAAGGTAGTCACATTCTTTGAGGGGAAAGGAGATTAAATACTACAAATACTGTCCTTTTAAAATGCAGGTGTCTTACAATTTAAAAAGCAAATACTAGCACTAACAAGCAGTTATTAATACACAGCTAACAGAATAAAAAGGTCATGATATAAGTGAAGCACAAGAATAAAAGAATGTAAACAGGTTAACTTTGCAATACTTCTGGTATCTTTTATGACAGTTAAAGGAAAGAAGCCATCCCAAACAGTATACAAATTCAGAAGTCTTTATTTTAAAAAAACTTCTTCCAACAATTACTTCACAATGGGCAAGAATTTAAGCATATTTATCATACTGCAGTATTTTAGAAATGAATGTTGAAGTCATTCTGTAAGTCTTCAACTATTACCTAAAAGTACCTCCTGTCCTAAGATTGGTTGTCAAAAATCTTAATATATTAACATTTTCTCAACATACCCTATTGGCTAGAAGCAACTCTTTCTTTCGAACTTTTCAGAAGATCCCTTGCTTACTGTTTCTAACTTTAAAGTGCACACATACTTTTAAATAAGTCATTAGAGCAAGCACTCCTCATAAAACCAAACTTTTCCAGAAAGCACACCCTATCCTCAACTAATGGTAAATATATCTGAAATTTCCGAACTCTAATCTGTGAGAAATCAGAATCAGAACTTTCAAATTATTACTCAATTTCTTCTAAAACCAAGACAGCTAATTTTCAAGATGTGATGAATATGTGGTTATGCTAAAGTAGACTTTGGCATATTTAACTTGTATTTTTTCTTCTTAAAAACAAGGTGTACTCTAAGCTAATGTAGATTAAAAAAAAAAAAAATGCACAATACCAAGAAATTGTAACACAAAGTTCCAAATCTGTACCTTTACAAACTCCAAGGGTCATGGGTAAGAGGGACCATAAAATAAAAGTTCAAATTAGATGGAACCTTATATATTAGTGAACTTACTGCCCTCACTGTTCAATTTATAAGCTAGAATTTCAATGCTCAATTTGAAGGCCTATTTTTTTCTCGTATGGAAGAATTTCTTAAATGGAAACAGGCTATATTTTAAAACAGCTGGTGAACCCCAAAATAGTTATTTCATTTAAAATTTCCAGTCAGACAGAATAAAGAGTAATCACACATGCATAAGGGAATTTTCATTGTAATAAGGTTTTCAGTTTAAAAAAGTCCATAAGCAGGGGCTGGGGATTTAGCTCAGCGGCAAAAGCGCCTGCCTGGCAAGTGCAAGGTCGTGAGTTCGGTTCCTGGTACCGGAGAAAAACAAACAAACAAACAAAAAAAAAAAAAAAAAAAGTCCATAAGCAAATATGCTTTCAAAGGGGCATCCATATAAGACAATCCTGAAGATGTTAAAACAATGAATTAAAGCTGGACATGGCAATATGGAAAGACAATCACTTAAAAAAAAAAAGTCACAAAACTGAACATTTAAACAAAAAAACAGTGGGAGGTATATATAGATATAAAATGCTAACATTTCTGAGGGACTACCCAAGAAAGGATATTCTTCTGGAATGTGGGAATAAGGTCACAAAAGGAGATGTATTTCTTTTACTTTAATACCCTGTGTACGCTGCATAATTTTAAAAAATCATAAGCACACATTATTTTAGAACATCCAAAACACTTTCAAAGTCTTAAAAAACCTGACTGCGCCCAACGCATTCTGGGAAACACTGACTATACAAGGTTAGTTCATAACCTTTGCTGCCTTTAGCATGATCGTATAATCAAAATTAGAAGGCTCCTTGGTGTTGTCTTCCTTTGTCTCTCCACTCAAAAATGAAGGGAAGAAAATGCTGAGAATTCAAAATTCAAATCATACTCTTACTGGTTACACAATAACTTGGAAAGTAACTGTTCAAGATTTCACAAAATCGATTTTAAAAACCTACATGATGGGCATTTTAGTCACCAACTGACATAGTTTATCCAAGATCAGTTTTTCTTTTTACCAAAGCCTACAACACATTCTATTTCCATTAAATGCCAAAGCCCTCTGTTAGACAAGCACAGCTTTCAAAAGTAGATTTAAACATATAATAAATTCTCATTGCTGACCTAAAATGAGAAGATGGATATGGGTCATCTGGTATTCATTGTTGGCAGAAGTCTCCACTGGAAAACACTACCATCAATTTTATGCAACTATTCCAAAATCAGAAGATAAGGAACCACTGGAAAAACCAACTCAAAGGGCCTGAAAAGCATCTGAGTATTTCAGAGTAAGAAAACTGGGAGGGGTCAGCTAGTGGCCACTTTGAGGACAGGCTCCAGGTGTTGGATTCAAAAGCCAATTTTTGAAATGCTGGGCTGAACAAATAATTCAGTATTTTTGAAATACTGTGCACACCACATTCAGAGAGGAAGGCACAAAGTATAACCTCTACATAAGATTTAGGCTCTTTCCAGTGCCTGATACAAGTTCAGAAATGAACTTTGTCTCCAAATGCTTACTGAATGAATTATTACTCACACAATAATATAAAACAAAATCTCTCAAGATACTGGATACAATCATCAAAGAACTGACAAATTTAAAGAAGGAATTGTGGAAACAGACACCAATTCTGTGCTGGAGCTGGCTTGCAAAGGTGTGATCTGCTGGTGTATTTTCCTTTTAAAGTACATTTCAGGACATCAGATGAGTCAGTAAAAGGAGCCACAGTGACAGTATTTGCAGACCAACTCTAAGCAAACACTACAAAACAACGTCCTTTTTCTTTTAAAAGACAAGACTGTTAAACATCTACCGGTACAACACTAGACCACACCACGGTCACAGTCTTCTATTCAAACACAACCATATAAACAGAAAGTTTAATTAATAACATTGCTTTAAAATATACAAAGAAAAAATTTAAATAATGAGCATTAATTCAATACAGTAAACAGGTTAATTTAATACAAATCTACGATCTTTTAAAAAGCCAATTTGAAAACTGAAGAGCACATAAACCACATCAATAAAGGTGCAATACATCACAAAATGGGAAACACTGTGATACTCTGGATGTGTCTTCTGTTTAAAATATGCTCCGCTATTTACCTTATTCTCAAGTACAATTAAAAACTAGAGAAGAGCTGAACTAATTTCATCAAATTATGAAAGAAAGTTAAGCTAAATGAGAATGTATCTTTAGGTATGTAAGATACAGAAACAAAGTTTCTAAAGATTAAAAAAAATCTACTCACACATAAATGTGATCTCATTTTAGTCCAACAATAAAATATTTACTCCAAACAGCAAAACTGTAACTGGCTTAACTTTTCTATGCCCGTGGATTTATTTCCAGTATTATATGACAGAATATTAAAAAAAGCAGTTAGCAAGTACTTGATATACTGAAAAGCCTTCCAAACCACACTCTACCATCACCCTTATTGTTACATTGAAATAATTAAAGCAACGCTAAGAAATTTGTAATTTCAACTGGAATTTCAGTTTTTCTCACCAAGCAAACAAACAAACGAAAAACCCCTTAGTTCAGGAAGTAAAATGTTTATTCCACAAGGAAAAACTGTTCAGGAAACAAATTTAAATTTCTCAACATGTGGTCTGCGAACCCTTGAGGGTTCACAAGATCCTATAAAGAGCTACACAAGGTCAAACTAGTTTTATAATATGCCGATGTTATATGCCTTCTGCACACGTATGATTTCACAAGTACACAGTGTAGTTTTCTAGAATCTCTGCTACAGGACATAAAAAAATCAAATGGGAATGAAAAAGCAGTAGAATAACTTCACTGTTTCTATTAAGCCAGAAATTAAAAGGATATGCAAAATGTAGAACAATGCTCCCTCCTGTTTTTCGTAGTTTTGGAGAAGTTACTTTACATAAAAAATGTTATCTACAATAAGCAATGGGATTACCATTACACTTAAAATGAATAAACGTGTTTTAAAATTATCTACTCATTTTAATAAATTCTAAAAGATACAAATTTCATAAATAAAAGCTATTTGGGGATCTTCGGTAATTTTTAAGTGTTATGGTTCTAAGACCAAAATGTTTCAGAACTGCTGCTGTAGATAAAGCAGCAGCTAGGTTATCCTCTTGATTTTGCCAATTTATAAGCTCTGCACCAAAGGAAATGAGTGTTGAGAGCACGGCACCTTACAGGTAAAAACTAATATGCTTTTTCAAATTTGCCTTTTAAGGAAGAAAGTACTAACCTAATCTCTAATTTCACAAAAATGTAGAATAAACATTTTCTATTTCAAAAACCAAAACAAAAAAAATACGCCTTTAAACCAAGTTCTTACCATTCTAAAAGACAAATTTCTTTCTTGGACAAAGACATAACAGGAAAAATTTGATTCAACCAGTAAACCAGGACATTTGAAGGTCTTCAGCCTTGTCACATTCCAGGATTAGTTTTTTTTAAGTACTCCATATAATTCTGATGATCTATATAAAGCTAGAAGCAAATCTGAATATAAAAGCCTAATAGAAGTTGATTTTTTAAACAATAATGATCATAAGAAAATCTACTTTAAAGCAGGGTCTCTTCTTAATCTAAACACTTGATTTTTTTTAAGCACTCATTAGAAATAAACCAATAAAAGTTCCTATTTAATTACAAACCTCAAGATTTACCCAGGAGGAAAAAAAAGTCTTTAGAATTATTTTGAGAATAGCTGTTTAATTTACCTCTTAGATGGAAAGCCTGGCAGGTTATTTGGGTAATGACCTACAATTATAACTTTTATAGATACGAATTTATTTGGACTTAATACAAGCTAAAACAGAAATTCCAAGACATTTCTTAAAGCTTTCCTTCCACGAAAAATGGGTTGAGGGACCTTGCCCTAAAACAGAAACATTTTAAGAGTATATCAACGCACACATGGACCTGTGTAACAACTGTTTAATTCTAAGAGGCATATTGCTCAGAAAAGGGTCACTCTGCTTGTCAAATCAGTTCAGGTAAGCCCTACTTTCAGTCAGATGTGCACCAGATCGCAAGTCCACAATACCAGAGATTTGTAAAACACTGTGACAACAACTCACACAGTCACCATGGCAAAAAGGCATTCAACATGAACAACTACTTGAGGAAACTGATATTCATCTCTTTTAATGCCAATGCTGTTCAAGGTTTTGAAGCATTTTAAGATAGAACTTTTCATATAGGTAATACATATTTGAATATTCAATTTCACCCTTTCTTGGTGGCAGAGCTACAAAAGACCACTGTCAGAAGACGATGTAACACGATGTCCTGTAAGCTGGGCTGGCTTCCCTAAACTACAAGTGACTGGACGGTGTATGCTCTGCACAGTCTTTTCAGTCTCCTTTCCAAGTCATCAGTTCTCAACTACTAATGTGCTGTGGGGCTAAGAAATCAAATAATCAAAATTATTTAAATTTTACATAAAAACAAATGTGTGTGCTCTAACATACAGACTTTATGACATATGAATTGCTCAGAGGCATTTAAAAAAAACAACTCCAAGTTTCTCAGTTGTGTCCTGTTTTGATGAGACTGCCAGATTATCTCTGGATGAATGAGGCTTTACTATATATAAATAAACAAATTCATTTGAATATTAACTAAAAGATACAACTAAACTTAGTATCACTGCCTTTTTTAAACAAAGTATTCCATAAACTTAAGATAACACTGGGTTCCAGTTTTTTCCCCAAAAGACAAACATAAACAAATGTCCTATAGATAGTATCAGTTTGTCCAAAAACGGGGGGGAAAAAAAGAAAAAAAAACAAAAACAAAAACAGGTGCAATCATGTCACAGTTAATACATGTCTGCTTCCAATACATTCAATGACAAAATTTAAAAATCAATAGTTAAAATAGGCCTTTTGCAGTCTGACAATTCAAGATCTTTTAAAAAATTTGTAAATACACATACATGCAAATTCTTCATATATACAAATTTCACAAAATTAACAAGTTGCAAAGAAATTAGAAGTATTACGGCAAATGTGACAAGCTACATTTAAATGCTTTTACCACTGACATATTCCTGAATATAGCAGTCCTAGTAGTTTTAATAAATTTTCTACATGGCCTTTTTATAAAAAGTTAGTCACTAGAAGTCTTTAAGAATTCAAGATGTTCTCAATTCACTACTCATATTTAAGGCCACTTTGGTAAAGGCATTGCAGCAAGAACACAAAACAATAGCATATTTTCTAATATTTATTTTTTTTTCCACCTGCAAACTGTAGCAAAACATGATCAGCTTTATTATGCAGACAGGTATCCCTCTACATTTTAAAAGAATTTAGGCATGTATAAATAGAAGAGCTCTTTAGAAAGGAAAAATTCAAGACTGAATAAAACCTTCCAATTTTTCCTTTGTAACTTTCCAGTAGTAATGGTTAAAATGATTTTAGTTCATTCATTCTAAGATATGACAGCACCTTAAAAGTGGCTGATCTATCTCCCCCAGTAACATTTTTCACATAACGATGTGTTAAAGTTACAAATACTGATATGCACAAATAGCTAATTTCTAAGAAAAATATGTACAGTACTGCAGCATAATGAATGTGGTATCTGCAATAACTTAATATTAGCCAATTTTTAATATACATGATACCGCTATCTTTTTCTGCCAATTCACAGGTTAAAAGTTGTCATGAGAGCCCTCTGTTTTGCACTTATTACCTGGTGTTCAATACACAATGCAGGCTTTTTAAAGACTTCTCTTGTGTTTAAAGCTAAGATCAGTGAAACAAGACAACAGTGCAAGAGGCGGAGCAATGTAATGTGACCACATAAAAGTTCGTTCCAGTAAAGTGTCTATATAAGGCTATAAGAAAGGATTGGTTGATGAGCTTCCTGTTGGGAATTGTCCTGTTGGTGCACCAGTCTAAAGAAAAACAGAAGACAAAATAGACAAATAAAAGTGGTGTGTGCACAAAATAAGAAAATATTAAACTGTACTTAATTTAATCCTATCAAACTTTTCTTACATTTAGAATTATTTTATTAGTATTGACAATATCCATCACTATTAACAGAGACAGAAACTTTACGTATCAGGGACTATGCTTTTATCAGCCATTATTTCATATAACTGTTCTACTAGATTCTAGGAACTTGGTCCTTTAAAAGAATAAGTTGTGATTCCTACGAGTCCAAAAAGGACTCTAAGACTCCTTTTCATACTGATTCACTAATCCATGGCCTCTACTAAAATGGTATTTTGAGAAAAAGCACGTACATTTCTTATTACAAAATAGCTCATTTACTGTCACTGTGTTGACTTGCAACTAATTATTTGTAAAGCTCAGATAAGGATGTCTCCATTTGTATAACCTTCAGGTGTTTTATCAGGAGAACACCAAATAGCACAGTCACATCCTATTTTGAATTTCACTTACCATAAAAGGATTACTAGATACTCCAGCAGCTGCAACTTGACCAAAAGGGGTCACCACTGGCTTTGTCTGTCCAAATGCTGCAAAACCTGCACCTTGTTAAAGCAAACACCAATTATAATCTCTATCTTCAAGATATAATCTGTTGCTTATAGTCTCTATATTTCTAGAAATTCTAGCCAGAGCAGCAAGAACGAATTATGAAGGTTAAGCTGTTAGGTCTCATGCTCTTTCAGATGCAAGTGACAAGCTTCTGAGGTTATGTTTATTTTTTTTTTCCAGTACCAGGAATCGAACTCAGGACCTCACACTTACCAGGCAGGCACTGTGCCGCTGAGCTAAATGGCCAGCCCCTTGAGGTTATGTTTTAAAAGAGCTTCACAGAGATCTGACATGTTAGTGCCAACCTGTCCCCGCTGTGTAAATTACAGCCAGTCAAGGGGATTTCTGATTATTTGTGAGAGGTTGTGTGGACAACACAATGGTTTCAATGAAAAAAACACAAAATTTCCTGGAAATATTGTATCATTTATGGTTCTTCCATGGACGGCATTTTAAAATTTTTATCTAACCACTTAGATAAAAAAGAAAACATAGCCAGGTGTGGTAGCTCACGCCTGTAATCCTAGCCCTAGGAAGGCTGAGGCAGGAGGATCATTGTGAGTTCAAGGCCAGCCTGAAGTGCATAGCAAAACCCTGTCTCAAAAAGACAAAAAAAAAAAAAAAAAAAAAAGAAATATTAAAAAAGAAAACATGTATTTGTAATTCCACAATAATTTTTAAATCTACGGATTTCAAAATTCAGCAAACGAGAAATAGGTTAAAAAAAAAAAATGGTGGAGTAATATCTCTTTTTTTTTTTTTTTTGAGACAGGGTCTCTCTATGCAGTTCAAGCTGGACTTGAGCTCACTTTGTACCCCAGGCCAGTCTCGAACTTTCAATGATCCTCATGCTTCAGCCTCCCGAGTGCTGGGATTACAGGCATGTAACACCAAGCCTGGCCCACCTCTTCTAAAAACAAGAAACTCCCAATTAAAGTGTAATCTACTTTTAAAACACATATAAATCCTTACATAAAAAAGCACACAGGAAACATTTTTGTGATAGAAAACAAATTAAAGCAAATACTCTAGAGGTCTATAAAGTTTCCTTTCCAAACCAGGGAACAGAGCAGAGCATGTATAATGAATTAGTGAGAAAGACACTGGTGATTCTGAAAAACATAAAAGAGTAACTTTGCTGAAACCAAAATCACCAAAGGCTTCAATTTTTGTATAGTAAACACCCAGTATATAACTCTATAAAGGCATTTTTAGGTAAGCCATTGTCTCAAACACTTAACATTATGGTATGTAAAAGATACCTAAAGTAGACCTGCAGTTAGCCAAATATTAGACCTTACCATTGGGCTGTTGAGAAAAAGCTGTCTGTTGAGGGAAAGCTGCTTGCGCTGGGAAGGCAGGTTGCTGGAAACTGCCACTAAAGCTGGTGGGAAGACTATAGGGAGCAGGGGTCCCAAACCCCGCAGGCATGCTCATGGATGCTGTACCAAAGGTTGCCGCTGAAAAAAAAAGAAGGACACATCAGTTACACTCAAAACACCAGTATGTTTCTAATACTTAATATTGTCAAGTAAGCACTGCTTACCTTGAAAAATGTTAAGATACACTTTAAAGGCATTGAAACCCCAAAATTCTAACACAGTAGTAATGATGAGCTTTAGTATTATAAACCTCACCGTAACCTAAGGTATTTTGTTGTTCTGAAACACAATGATAAAAATCAAATTACTAAAGCTGTCTTTGAAAGCCTGAGAAAGTTTCTCAAAGTAATTATATAAAGTCTACAGCAAGTCTCACACAGTGTAATTCATATGTAAACTAGTATACATGTTTGTTTTTAAGTTTACTATATTTTTTTATTTTCTAAACTGCTTGCCAGTGCTCGCTTTAGCAGCACACATACTAAAGTGTTTGCCATAATGTAATATGAGCATTGCTGGAAAAAAATTTTTAACTCTGAAAAAAGATCACTAAAAAATAAAACGATTTATGGGACACAGTCAGAGGCAGACCACTCACAACTATGTGGTTTTGTAACTAGAGTAAAAAACTAAAGCCAAAACAACCCCAATTACTCATCATTTATAAACCAATTCCAATTCCAGAAACACATGTAGTAGCAGAACACTGTGTTACTGCTGGTAAATATTTAATACAGCACCTTCCAGCTATATGTTCTAGGAAAGGACTCAGGGAAATAAGAGAAAATAAGGTTGCTTTAAATAATTTCTAGTAATTACATGATGCAATGGTATTTGCATGTTCTCAAAAAAAAAAAAAATCATTCACCAAATTTCCTGATCTTAAAAAAAGTTTACCAACTCAATCCCTGATCTATGATACAAAAAGTTCATACTAAAAATGTTCCATAAAGTGTTTCAATTTCTACAAAACTGAAAAACAAGTTACAGATGTTGCCCAAAGTAATGCTGCTCATAATCCTAGTTGTTACCACAATGCAACGTTACTCAATCTAACTGGATTATTAAACTTTTAAAAATTATTTGTTCATCACTGACAAGAAAAAAGGAAAAATAGGCTACTGGGAAGCAAGTGAAAGAATAAGCACATTGCAAGGGAAACGGGAGGGTTTCATAACAGACAATAATGCACTGACATAACTGACAAATCACTGTTCAAAAAAAGCACTAAAAAGCAAAAGTTGGATACACTTAAGCAAAATCAAACTCCATGGAATAATGTGGTAAAATGGTTTGGAATATCATTTGAAGTACTATGAATTCAAACTTAAGGAAAAGAATCAAAACAGCTATTAACATTGCATTGTGACCATGGAGGTAAGCAATAATGCTTTTAGCATTAAAACATGAATCACTACAAAGATTTTCAAGTAACCGAATACAATGCAATCTTGATGCCACACATCCATGCCCACTCCATTTTAAAACATGGAAAAACTTAATTAAACATGCAAGGATCCAGAAACGTAGCAGAAGCTTCCACAAGCAGGTAGACAAGTTGCTACACAAATCTAGAGGTTAGCTGTGGCCACCTACCAAAATGAGCGTGAGGAAACACTTGAGAATGCATTGCTCCAGAAAGGCCTTACGGAAAGCCATAAAGAGACCAATGTCAATTAAGTCACGGACAACTATTATTAAAATAAAAGTAAATGTTTCATTAAAGAATTTTAAAATCAGAATGTACTGTTGCCGGCTGGGTAGCATAAAAATATATTATAAAAACACATTCACAAAATGAGACTTTTTATTTCAACTATATTCATGACATTATTGCTCCTGCTCAAAGTGCAGTTTAAAATAATACCAAATAAAGAACACTGGTGAAGTCCATTTTTTTAAAATAAGCACTTTTCATGTGAAGACACAACTGTATCCATAGAAAAAGGCTTTGTAGGCATGATGAGCTACCCCCAAAAATACTATTTAGTATCTACAAATTTCGGAGACAGCACCTGAACAATGCCAGATAGTTTTATGTACCACTCAGTAACTAGAAATACCCAAAAGATAACTCGGTGCACTAAGTATAATGAGGGGGAAATTATTTAAATACAATTCACTAGAAAGGTAAGTGGGACACTTTCAGCTTAAAATGTAAGGGTAAAAGACAAGGAGAAAAAGAACACCGCAACTGGAATACATCTTACCTGGCATGTTTGAGGATAGAAGTTACACGTAAGTATACACAATCAGTAAAAGACAAACTAAGACTGTTAAGTACTTAAACTTTCTGTTTATCTTAACAATGTAGAATGGGTGGATTCTAAAATACGTTTCTATATATTTTCAATTAGAATATTTTTAAGACTAGCATAAATCTGAGAAAATAGTGATTAAGAGATAAAGTGCTTCTCAGTCTTGGTTCAGGCATTTTCTAGCTGCATGATGTTACCTAACAGCTATAAGCCTGAGTTTCCTCATTTGCCAAGGGAAGGAGGGGTGAGAAGACAGGGATAATAAGACCTCACACTTCACCAAAGCTGCTATGAAGATTAAATGTGTAACAGTGAATTAAGTACTGAGAGTATTAAAAAATATTTTTTCTTGATAACTTATAAGGACTTTTTTATACTATACTCTGAAAAAAGCTAATGGCTCTGTGATAAACAAGTTTGGTCATTTTACATTTATCTCCTCTCAGAGCACTCTAAAGGCTTTGAAAAGTCCTAATTTAGTAATACTAGTTAACTGTGGTTATTCCAGCATTTCCCATATGTATTTAGGCACACAATCCTCTTCCATAGAATATGGATAGGAACATCTCAAGCAACAGTAATTGTTAACCAGTATTAACCACTATATTAACTGGCACAAAAATGTCACCCCCATTCCATGGCCAAAAGTTCTGGAGTCCCAAACTGGAGTCTCCAATTTGTCCATTAAAAGTACAGTATGGGGGCTGGGGATTTAGCTCAGCGGCAAAAGCGCCTGCCTGGCAGGCGCAAGGTCGTGAGTTCGGTTCCTGGTACCGGAGAAAAACCAAAAAAAACAAAAAACAAAACAAACAAAAAAAAAAAGTACAGTATTTGGGCCGGGGATATAGCTCACTGGCATAAGCGCCTGCCTGGCAAGTGCAAGGTCCTGAGTTCAATTCCCAGCACCCAAAAAAAAAAAAAAAAGTACAGAATTTAAGGTTTCTTATACTTATATAATCAGAGTTGTGCAACTATTATCACAATCTAATTTTAGGTTACTTTCATCCCTTGTTAAAGAAATTCCAGACCTCTCAGCTGTTTCTCCCTATAATGCCCACTACTACTACCAACCCCTGGCAACCACTAATCAATTTTCTGTCTCTATAGACTTTTGCCTATTCTTGGCACTTCACACAAATAGAATCATAAATACAGAGGCCCTCTGTAATTACCTTGTTTTACTTAGAATAAAGTTTTTCAAGGTTCACCCATATTGGATAGCGCATGTAAGAATTTCATTACTTTCTATGAAAAAATATTCTACTATAGGCCCATTCAACATCTTGCTTCATCACTTGGTGATATATGGGTTATTTCCACTTTTAGCTACTATGTATCATGTCTATGAGTTTTTGTGCAGACTTATGTTCCATTCCTGTTGGATATGTTTCTAATATTGGAAATGCAAGATAACTTTGTTAACCTTTTCAAGGAATGGTCAAAGTGTTTTCCAAAGACATTTCAGCATTTTACATTCCCACAAGCAGTATGTGAAGCTTCTAATCACTTTCTTTCCTCAGTAATGTTTATTACTATCTGTATACTACAGTTATCCTAGGGGGTATAAAGTGACATTACCCGGTGGTTTTGATTTACATTCCCCTACTGACTAATGATATATATCTGTTTTCATGCTCACTGATCATTGCTACACCTTCTTAAAGAAATTTTATTCAAATCTTTTGCCTACTTTTTTAATTTGCTTAGTAATTTTACTATAGAGTTGTAAGGAATTATTTAAATATTCTGAATACCAGTCTCTTATTTTCCTATAAATAAAAATATGTCCTATACAGTCCAATATAGCTTACTTCTTAGGTTACTCGCTTTTTTCTCAACTGTCATTCTTTTTTGTTTGCTTTTTGCATTAATATTCATTTCTAGAGTTTACTAAGGAAGGGTAGGTGGGTCTATTGAATATTTAGATATAAAGAAGGAATACTACATAATGCTGGTATGTTTATGTTTCATGAATACATAATCAAGCTGGAATGGAAAACAGCATTAGTTTAGAAGCATCCTGGGCATTAATATCAGGTTAGCTATTACTTAACTTTGAACCCTACTTAAGCAAACTGATTACTATTTTTGTAAATGAGTTTTTATCTACAAGATAAAAAAAATGAGATGTGGCATCTAGTTACTACTTATGCAATCTTTCAGCTCTACAAGTTATTTCCTTGATTTCCTGCAAAAAAATTCTCTAAAGCCATTTGTTCACTTTTTCAAATAAGAGGGGAGGAAAAACAGGTCATTCATACACTGGCGAAAGGAAAACAACCTGTAAGAGAAATTTCCCAATTATTGAAAACTATTAATTAGATTCAATGATTGGAAAAATAATGCTAAATATCACTGAATCCTAAAATTAAAAAGGTCTTAAGCTATTTACATTAATCTCCTAAACGAAGTTCCCGTATGTTAAAAGAAATTTAAATCCCCAACATTCTGTAAATTAAAAGAAAAGATTAAAATGTGTATTTTAAGAATTGAATGTACTAGCCGGGGGTGGTGGTGCATGCCTGTAATCCCAGCTCTGGTGTTTAGCATAAACGGGGTAAAACTCGAAGCAGTACAGAGTGAGAGATGTGACTGGCTTGATATGAATCAAACAGGCCTGTGGGGTGTGCATGTGCAAGGGGTACGAATTAAAGGGAAAAAATTTACCAAAGAAAAGACTTAAGTATTACACCAAAACTGAACCAGGCTCCCACAGTTTCAAATATGTGAACACCCTGGAAGAGATGCACTAGAGTAAGACTTAATTAGAATTCATGTGACAAAGTAAATTATCTGATGCAGTCTTATAGGGGCTAAAACACTCACAGTAATGTTCTGCTAAGAATGAGTGATTGAAAGCTAGGCAGTGTGGCACACATCTATAACCCCACCACTTGAGGAGACTAAAATAGGAGAAAGGCTAAAAAGTTCAAGGTCAACCTATGCTACAGACAGTTCCAGGGAGGAAAAAGGTTGAATGACTGATAGCCAATAATTCTACAACCAGGCCCCAAATAAGTCAAAATTTCTGTGTTTAAGCTTTCCTTTTGCTATAAATTAGCTACGTAAGTCCAACGAAGAATCATCTCCATGTTTGGGATTCCTTACCTGAAAAATAAAAGCTCTGACCAGAAGAACAGGTACTAGACAATTCCTCTGAAGTCTCCCTCAACTGTTAAATCCCCAAATTTTATAAACTTTCAGCTAGCATTTGTCTTTACGGGCAAAACTCTTCTATTCATTTTCCATTCACTCCAGTAAAAAAGAGGTTTGATTTCTCTGGTGTTGCTCATATGCTGCCTTTCTGATAAGAAACTTTCCTCATTTAGTATTCCAAACTCTTTTATCCTTACCTGTTGCTCCTCTGGCATTGGTCTGAAATGGATTTGTAGAAGACGCCACAGAAGGACCACCAGCAGCAACAAATGGATTTGTGGAAGGCGTAGCTTCAAAAAATTAAAAAATATAGTATAAAATCCTAATGTATTTTGTACTCAAGATTTAAAATATTTGCTTACAATATTTATGAAATGAGGAAACATAACCTTTAGGATAATAAATTATTGCAGTAATTTATTATCAAAAAGGCTGTACTTTCACTAGTCTACTAAAGAAAATGCTACCATATATACATTTTTTCTGTAAAAACCAATACCTTTATAGATAGTTAAAGACGCATGTACCAGAAGCACATACCTCCAAATGGAGCAGGCACACTTGAAGAAGCAGGCTGAGTCTGTGTCGAAGCACCCACTGGCACTGTTCCAAAAACACTGCTGAAAAGTATTTTAAAGGGTCAATATTTTTTTTAAAAAGTGATCTGCCTACCAGATAGCTACAAAATGTGGAAACACTGAACATATCATATATTACAACAGTTCGGGCTGGGGATTTAGCTCAGCGGCAAAAGCGCCTGCCTGGCAAGCGCAAGGTCGTGAGTTCGGTTCCCGGTACCGGAGGAAAAAAAAAAAAAAAAAAAAACAGTTCTCAGACTGCGAATCTCAAGATGTTTACATTCTGAAAAATTAGAGACCCAATAACAACATATTTGTGCTATATCTATCAATCTGTATCACAAAGAAATTAAAGTCCAGATTTTTTTGAAATGTTCTTCAGATTTAAATACAGCCATGACACAACATATATATCATTAGCACTACAAAAAAACTAGATTTTGAAAACAAAAAAACTTAATGAGAAGACTAGCACTGTTTTTTATTTTTTGCAAATCCCTTTAACAGCTGATTTAATAGAAGACCCATGTTTCAAGTTGTTTTGATTGAAGTGTACGAAGAACAAATGACCTTACAAAGATGCACAGATGATGTATCAATTATATGTATAAATATAGTAAAAACTGTTTATAAATACCACTAGGACACTTAAGAAAGGTGAAATGAGTGATGGTTTTTGGTGCAAACAGTTCTAAAAACTAAGACTATAACACAATACTTTAGTCTTCATGATTGAAAACTATACCTTAGAAGTACATAATCTGACTACTGAACTGATTATCTGCTGAGTATAATATGTATATAATTGTCCATTTAAAGATGTGCACATACTCTTTTAATTATATTGTAGCATTCAAGGATGATAGTAACAAAATTTCTGATGCAAGAAAGAAAAAAATAAGATAATTACTCAATGATTACATTTTTACTAGCAAATTAAGCTCAATTTGCTCAGATTTAAAAACTACTCAATTATTTTTAAATTATATCCTCCAAATATTTATTTAACTATGTTATTCAGAGTTGAAAAAAAAATTAAAAGATAAAACAAATGCAGGGATGCCAAGACAAAGTACCTGCTAGCATTACTAGTGGAAGTATATGCATTACTGGAGGTGGCTGCAGAGCTGAACACGCTGTCTAATTCGGCCAGCGCTGCGTACTTGTCTGAAGATGCGCTTGGCTGACTAGGAACTGAAACCACAGAACCGACAGGAGCTTTACCTGTGGCCCCAAAACCACTCCCTTGATCACCACCTGGAAACGAACCCCAAAAAAAAAAAAAGTTACCATATTTGCAACAAAACAGAGGTAAACTTAAAGCTTTTCTTGGAGCTAAAAAATTAAATATACAGGATTCTAGACCTTACTAAATAACTTAAACAGTACTGGAGACAAGATTAGTTCCCATAGAAATCACTGTGGTGAAAATATAATTACTATTTCTGCAACAAGAATCTAAGAGTCTGTCTAGAATAACAGTCATAATATATCTAGACTAAAAATAAGAAATTCTTGAATCCAAGACAAGTGTATTTCACTGAAGTAAACATAAACTCATAAAATGGTGGACCAAATATGAACAACCTATTAGTATTACCATTTTCCTAAGATTTTTCATTAAAAAGTTTGAGATAATTTTAATAGAAAGCACTTACTAAGCACTTAATGTATGTCAGGCACTGCTGTAATATCATACAGGCAACAGTGCACAAAACACAACTCCATGAGTTCAGTGCTATTATCATTCTCATTTTGGAGATAAGAAAGACAGTCCCAGACATCAAGATGCATTATTCAGTCTAGCACTACTACATCCTTGCGCTATGCATTTTTAGCGACAAAATACTGACCTTAAGGCCAAAACTTGGTATAAAACTATAGTATAAAGATAATGGATTTAAATACCAAAATACTAATAGGAAATTGTTCAAACTGAATACATTATAAAAATTACCAAATAATCCTTCCATTAAGCTCTTTAATGGCATCTACTCATATGTTATGGCTACAGAATAAAGAATGCTCTCTAGAAAAAAATTAAATGTTTTTCAATGATTTCCTTTTAAAAGTACAACTTTAGGCCACACATGGTGGCACACACCCATTATCCCAGCACTAGGGAGGCTGAGGTAGGATTGCCACAAGTTCAAAGCCAGCCTGGGCTCCACAGTAAATTCAAGACCAGCCTGAACCACATAGCAAGACCCTGTCTCCAAAAACAAACAAACAAACAAAAGTATATAGATTAATTTCTATGCCTTCAGTGTTATAGTTGATTTGGGTCCAAAAGTACCAAATGACAATTTTACTCAAAATGTAGACGCAATTTCTACTCAACTGAGGAAAGTCAAACATTCTCAGATGTTAATAAATATACCAATTTTAAAGCCCTGCTTAACATACACATTTGTATTAGCTTTGTTTAAAGCTTGATACCTTGCCCAGCACTGAAGATATTGTCTAAATTAGCAAGTGCTGCATATTTGTCCGCGGTCTGTAATCCAGGTTTGTTTGTTGTTGAAACTTTACTAACAGCTGATGCTGTCTGATGACTCTGAGAAGTACTGAAGGTTCCAAAATCAGCACTGGAGGATTTGGGGAAGTTATCAAAATGAGCAAAATTAGCATTTACTGATCCAGCACTTCCACCTGTAACAGAATAAACAGAGTACTTGAAATTGATGGACTTTCCCCAATACCCTTTGGAAAACTACTGCTCACTACTCCCTAAGTTAAATGTTCATAAGAATTATAGGACATATATTTATATATTATTTTATAATCTGTATTTCTTACAAACCAATGACCGGTACATGGCACTCAACTTTAATCACCTAAATGTGACTTTTTATAATCTGTGAAACTAGGCCAATATAAAATAACATCTAGCTTGGGATACAGAATGTAACAGGGAAGTAGGGGGCTGACTCCGTGATATCTAGTTGAAATTCAGTTATCCATAAAACAATGCAACTATATTCTACGCTCTAAACTAGTTCCACAAGACACTATAGACAAGATGCAAGCTCTCTTACTTGGAGGGTTCAAGCATTTAAAGTTCCATAGACACATGATTTAAACAAATCCCAGGGGTTGGGATTAACAATGGTTAAAATGTATTCTTTTAATCAAGGATTTCTTTTAAAAAATGGTCTTTGCACTTCAGGCTTATTTCACTTGAAAAGCTGTCACTTAATTATACATAGTAATTTAATGTGCATTGAATAATATGATATTCACAGTAAAATCATGCCCTATCGTACAGTTCAAGACATAAAAAGGCAGGGGCTGGGGATTTAGCTCAGTGGCAAAGCGCCTGCCTGGCAAGTGCAAGGTCGTGAGTTCGATTCCTGGTACTGGAAGAAAAACAAAAACAAACAAACAAACAAAAAAACAAGACATAAAAAGGCAGTTATTACAGCAATTTCTGACTTAATAAAGGACAATTCATTTAATAGTCACTGTGGTACATATCCTGCTAAATCTTTTAAAGCATGTCTAGAGACCCTCCTAAAACACTAACAAAAGACTCACACCAGTACATTTCATTATACACTTTTGATACTTCGTGTTTGATACACTAGTTCTTTATTCCTAAACTATACTTTCAGCAATCAAAATTGTGTGTGTTTAAATGTTTTTTACATATACTATATGTAAAGGTGACAGCAAAATACACTTAGGGATATTCTAAAAACACAATGAAGACATTCTTCTGCAAAAACACACTTTCATCAGTCAGTCCTTCAGACATTCTCAACCAAACATACTGATAAAACTCTTTCAGCAATTAAATTCTGGTTGTTTCAATTAAAATCTATAAAATACAATACAAAACATTCAAAGCAATAAAAGATGCCTAATGACAACAGAACTTACTGTGGGTAGCCTGGAGAGGAAAGGCTGAAGTAAATTCACCAAAACTGCAGCTAGATGAAAGTATTCTAAATGCTGGACAGCCAGAAATTATGTAAATGATGAAAGTTAAAGAAAAACAAAAGAAAAGTGAAAGAAAAGGCTTTGAGACAATACATACACAGAATTAAAAAGTTGAAAAAAAAAAAAAAAGAGCAATCAGCCAATGATCTAAACAAGGGTTCAAAAAGTCTCTGAAAACAGTATGTATAGTTTGTCAGAGTATCCAATGTATAAAGACCAATTCCTGCACAGAAAACTATTTCCACAATTAAAGTGATTATTAATAATTTACTCTTAACTAAATATTTAGAATTTTTTTCAAACTATTGTCCTTAAAATTACTTCAATTTTTAGTTATTCAGAGGCAGCAAATTATCTTATTATTTTCTCTAGTTCAAAGATGTACATAGCCTTAAATCGGTATGTTCCACGAATCTGGAACATATTTAGTACTTTAAATGTCTTTGTGTACATAAGATTTAAGAAGATTCATGTACAGGAAAAGGAGAAGAATGGATGTTGTAAATCAGACAACATACCAAAGAGTTCAGAAAAACGAATGAAAACAGAAAAAAAAGAAAAAATACATATATATATATGTAAAGACTTCAGGTTTCCCCAGAGCTTTGTAAGACAGAACTACTTTAAAATCAGGTAACTACAGAATTTAAATTTAATTTTTCAAAGCTACATCTACAGGGTTTATTTTTTAAAATAAACACTTAAGCAGAATGCGGGAGAAGTTCTACCTGTAGTTTGGGGCTGAAAAGGAGAGTGACTTGCTGTGGGGAAACCTCCAAAATTACTCGAACCACTAGACTGTCCAAATGCATCAAAGTTTGCAAAATCTGCATTTGCAGAATTCTGAGCTGTAAATGGTAAGGAACAACAGATGTTAATGAATATGAAAACTATAAATGAAAATACATGACAAATGAATTTAAGACTTCTACGAAAAGTGTCGATGTATCACAATTCATTTTAAAGAGTTCATGAAGAAATCAAATTTTAAATGTACTACAAGCATTTAACACAATCATATTTACAAGGCTATCCAGAAAATTCCCCAAACACACTCTGTGAAATGATAAATCTGTACACAATACCCTTTAATATCCTCAAGCACAGTACTAAAAAGTGACTCTATTAACACAGGGAAATTGAACTGAGAGCAGTAAATACATGATGTACGATAGCAGAGTAAACTAAACAAACATGTGGGACACATTACGGAAAATTCACTGATTTAAATTGATAGTTAAGTGAACCTTAAGAGCGACCTAAATATCTAAAATATATTCTTGAAAAAGCTAACAAATATGGACACACAAAAATGAAAACAACATATAAGCTTATGACCATCAAACTGCAGATAGTCACATTCTGTTAGAACCCTGCCATTTTAAACTCATGCTAACAATTTAAGAAACAAAGCCAGCAGCAATTATAACATTTAGTAAAAAAAAAAAAAAAAAAATTGATATATTTTGCAACTGGTGCAAAATTCCTAAGTGCAAAATTCCAGACTTCCCTAAATTTTAAGTAAGTTTTAAAAAATAAAAAATTTTTACTGAAGGGCAAAATAGATACTGGATGGGAGTTTAAGAGGATACGATGCAAGTAAGAAACATTTGGCCTGGGAGAAAAGGAACGCTCGCGAAAAGAATGAAAAGCACGCACAAAGGATGGGGAAAAGTTAGATGGTGTCAATATAGTAAACCCTTTGCAGGCAATTCTAACTTAGCATCTGTAAAGAAATAACTTTGCAAATAAGTATGTCACATCAAAAAACTAGACTGTACGTTTTTTATAAGAGTAAAAATGTTAGAAACTCAAATGACCACCAATAAGGGATCACTTAAATGTATTTCATATGAAATATCATATGATTAAATAAAACATAGCCACTAGAAACCATATAAAATATTTAGTCCCATGCAAAAATCTTATGCCAAGGACAGTAAGTTAGTAATTCGTTATACTTTCACGTGCCAATTTTTCTGATACTCAACATGGTATATTATATACATACCAAAATCTGCACTTTAATTAAGTAGTACGATTTCAAATCAGTATCATTTTCTTTTGTTTGCCTGAGTTTACAGCACTTTTGCAATGAATATGTAACAAACAAAAAAAGCTACAGAACAAAAAATTATCCCAACAAATCAATATGCTAAGCCCTATTTTAAAAAGAAAATCAGAGGATGGGGTTATAGCTCAGTGGCACAGTACCTGCCTGGCAAGCGCAAGGTCCTGAGTTTGATATTCCCAGTACGAAAAAATTAATTAATTAATCAAATAAAAAGAAAATCACGAAAATTTGAAAGTATTTTATACTATCATCATTATGTATGTATTTGAATGGGGACAACAGTGGGGGGTATCGCAAGCAGACCCTCTTTTACTGGCAGCTGACCATGCCACTTCCCTTCTGAAACGAAGGCTGCCACTCTATCAAGTATCACACTTCACTTGAAAACGTTTTTTCACACATTTTCCCCCTCTGTCAAACACTACAAAGTAGTGCCTAACTTGAAAGCTTACTTATTGTTTAATAATTCTGTATTTTCTGGATACTATGAAATCTTTTGTTACTACTTTTTGCTTACTATGACAAAAACTCAATATCTTTATAGGCTGAAAATTTACTTTTAGAAAACAGTTATTTAAAAAATTTATTGAAAAGTATTTTGGAAGAAATATCTATAGAGGATTAAACAAGCAATGTAATACAAGTTTAAACACTACTGCCATTTTGCATGACTGGTAACACCAATAACCAAGTGTAGGAATCCGGGTTAAGCATCAGACAATTCTATCCTAGCCAGGTATGGTGGTGGACACCCATAATCCCAGAACTCGAGAGGCTGAGGCAGGAAGATTATCAGGACTTCAAGGCCAGTCTAAGCTATAGTGAGTTCAAGACCAGCCTGGACTACACAGAGACCCTGCTGCAAAAATAACAAAAACAAAGAAAAATCCATCCTAACATAGGTAACTGAATAGCATGAAAAAGTCCTTCAATTAGTCTGGTCTTCCCAGTTTTCTCAGTACCAAAATGGGAGGATTCACTACTCTCTACCTGCAAATCCACCCCTATAATTCTATAATTTCTGAAAGAACAGGAATAAATTCTTTTAAGGACTTTGGAACTCTAGGCTGAGAAGAAAGTTCAACTAGAAGATAAAGTAAGATATAAACCAAAACATGTAACATATACAGTAGGTAACTAACTATAAATGCATAGAAAATATAGCACAAGAGATTCTCAAATATAGTGGGTAACCATTCCAAAAGGCAAGTTATGCTTTTGAACATCTTAGTTGTATGTTGGAGAACAAGAAATCAGTTCAAAGCAAATTATTTGGGCCAGGTAAGCTCATTTTTGTAATATTTATAATTTCCCAATGTATTCAAAAGACAGCCTCAAATACCTAGTCAATACAGCAAAACAAGGCTTTGTAGTTCTTGAATCCACTTTTATTTCTAGGTACTGCATCTACTTACAATTTTCAACAATCAGTACAAATGTTGAGGAATCCAGCTTTGGAAAACACAACTTTGCAAATTAAACAATAAATTCAATGAAGCTGTGCGTGTTGGCGCACGCCTGTAATCCCAGCACTTGGGAGGCTGAGGCAAGAGGATCGTTGTGAGTTTGAGACCAGCCTGGGCTACAAAGTGAGCTCAGGGCCAGCCTGAACTGCACAGTGAGACCCTGTCTCAAAAAGATTAAAAAAAATAAAAATAAAAATAAATAAATTCAATGATACAAAAGTTACTACCTGATTATTCAAGCAAACTCTACACAAAGAAATACAAATTAAACAAAATATGACAGAGTAATAAAGATGTTTCTTAAATAATCTTGTTTCTAGGAGTATGAAGGAATCACTTCAGCTTAGAATTTCAGGAACCAATCTAGTGAGCCTGAATCTTGCTGACAGTTACGTTTTTTCTTCAATTAAAAACAGATATTCATGGGAAAAGATAAATAAAATACAGGATGTAAACTGAAAGATCATAGCAAGTTCATTTAACATATACTGTTTCACCTACAAGTATTAAACATTTTCATCAAGTCTCAACATTTAAAAAGATGGAATTTCCTTGTAAGCAAACAAGGTGTCTTGCTCCTCTGAGAAAAATCAATACATTTAGTAATTCTAAAACCCTCTTTCCATGTGGCAGCAGACCAGAATACCTCCTGTAGAAGAGCACCATTTTTCATGTCTCACTATAGTACTCATTTGTGTTACATGGGTTGCAAGGTAACTGACATGCAAATTTCAAAAATCAATTACAGTTTACAGGTTCTGTGATCAAATGATTATCACAAAGCAAAATAACTATTAAATTCTGTAGGTAAATTATGTTTCTAAATTTATATGTGTTTTTGAAGGCTGCTTTTTTGAACACAATAATGACCTCACCCACCAATACACATTCATATACCCTACATGTCAGCCAGAACGTCCACATGAAAAGTAAAGATTTCCAGCCTTCCACTAAATTATCTGCAAAAGAACCAGTTTCCCTATAACACCATGTAAACTAGACTGCCATACCTGAACAATTATCGTTTGATATTAAAGGCTCTATCCGTCACATGAAATCATTCAGGGTAAATTTTTCACCTAATGCTACTTTATGAAAACTTCAGAATCAAAACTCAGCCATCGATGACTCTGTGAACTACATATGAAAGAGCTCGCAAATACTCTAGAAAATTTTTCAGCTAAACACTAACACTGCTTTACACTTAAAAAGCACTCCAAGGCAAGAATGTCAAAAGATCTATACTAGAAGGAAAAATAGAGTAACTTAGTAACCACCTACAAAAGGCATATAGTACACTTTATTCTCCTGGAATTAAAGTAAACGACAAGTGAAACAATAAAAAATTAAAAAAGAGAAGAGGAAGAAAAGAAAGAAAAAGTTGATTTGAGTAGTCATTTGTAAACAAGAACCTCAGACTGAAAAGGACTACAGTACTCTTAAAATAATTTACATGACTATTAAACTACTTCTTCCCACTCAGGTGTCTGACTACTTCCACCTTAGGTGAGAAATAGACTATCAAAACAGATCAAATAATAGTTATTTTTTTCAAACACCATTTTAAGTGAGTTATTAAAGAATGAGTACAGTTTCTGGTACAAATTAATCTGTGAAGTTGTAGTAATGTGCTATCATCATTCTTCAGCTAATCAGGCCACAAAGAAAACTATAACAATAATCCCTGGTATGTGAAAACCCAGCAACTGCCTACAAGCATAGGATACATGAAATAAATTGAAAATTTATAAGGGTTCGGTATTTATTTTATCAACATTTTCAAATTATATTTCAATAAACCTAAAATGGAAATTAAACCAGAACATATTCAATGTTGACTCTCCCACCAATTCCTTTTTTACCAGCATTCGAGTCCAAGAGGTGGGAACAAAGAATTGGGGCTCCTGCCTAGTCAGCAGGGGAGCCAACTATCTACGTAAAGGTGAAGAGCAAAGATGCTCTCCAGGTTTTCTGGGTTTCTATAGCCAACAACTTAAGCTTCTTGATTTCTTACAATTTTAATCACTAGCTGGGGATACAGCTCAGCAGCACAGCGCCTGCTTGGCAAGCGTGAGATTGTGAGTTCAATTCCCAGTACCGGAAAAAAACAAAAACAAACAAACAAAAAACCATTTCAATGTATTATAATTGCTTCAACTCTGTAAACTACCTAGAAGTGAAGAAAATTTCTTTGGCCAGGCGTGGCGGCACATGCCTGTAATCCCAGCACTTGGGAGGCTGAGGTAGGAGGATCATCACAAGTTCGAGACCAGCCTGAGCTACAAAGTGAGCTTTCAAGGCCAGCCTGAACTGCATAGCAAGACCCTGCCTCAAAAAGACAACCAAAGAAAAAAAGAAAAAAAAAAAGTTTTTTTAATCATTATCTCTTCTATATATATAAAAAAAAGTGCCCACAATCTTAGTATACCACACCAAACACATAAAAATTATACCATGACTTCTTTCTAAAGCATGTCTCCAGAAAAATATTTTTATTAATATTTAAAATTAAAAGTACCCTTAGTGCTTGCTAGAAAAAAACGTGGCTGGCTAGAGAGTAGCTTTGCGACAATTGTCAAACCCTCCCCAAACAGTACATTTTTGGGTGTGTATGTAAGATATTCTTTATACCACCACTATTCAATAAGCTAAGTCACCAAATGAAAGAAAAAGCAGTACCACTCAATCTCACAAGTGAGTAAAACACGGTAACACAAATTATAAAACACAAACAAGAAATCAATTCTAACAGCAGGCTTCTGTTACACTAGTAAAATTATACATATTTTAGAAAGATACAGTCTCAAATTTTTCTTATCTACAATTAAAGTTATGGAAATCAGCTTTAGCCAATAACTTGCATTCTCATGTTAACTAATACACAGCAAAAGTTCAAATTACCAAATAAAACTATAAAATTACTAAATTAATTCCTATAATAGTGTCTTACATTTGGTCTGAGGCATATCTAATCATTCACAAACAGAGATGGGTGCACTTTCTATGATATACACATCAATTCTTACAGCCCTCCAAAACAGACTACATTTATATTTGTAACAATGTTTCTAGTATAATTGTGATGTAAATAAGTAATGGATCACAGATTTTAAATTATTTTGCATAACAGATTCAGGCATTGAGCATCAAAGTTAACACTATAGAGAGATAAAAATACAAATCCTGCACCTCAGACCTTAAGTCATAAGTTCCCTAGCCACCTCCCCATTCACACAAGAACCTGTACTAATCATATCTGTAATCCACTTACCAATTTACAAGAGAAACTTGTTAAAGGGGATCACAGTGGTGCAATCAACAAATTCAGACTAGTGCAAACCATGCAGAAAAAATAATCCACTTTATCAAATTAGAGGAGAAAAAGAGATGAAGAATGTACAGATTAAGAGATGTAAAAGACATAATTCACAATTGCAATGTGTGCAGCACCTTATTTGAAACCTAATTCAAATTGTACGTCATAGGTATGTGTGTGTATGTGTGAAAGTATATGTGTATAAACATACACATGTATGATATATAAACAAAACAATCTGGAGTGGAATGAAAATTTCAATACCAACTAATAAATTGTTACTATTTACAGAGCAATAATCATGTCATGTTAAACAAAAAAGCCTTTTTTACAGATGTCATATTTATGGGCAAACTACTATGTCTAAAATTTGCTTCAAAATAATATGAATGAAATGACAAATGAAACAAGATTTGCCATGAGTGATTAGTAGTACACAAAGGTTAGACTGTCCATTTACTTTTGAATATCTGCCATTTCCCATGGTAAAAGAAAAATTTAGAGTCTTTCCCATTTTGACATGAAGAGGTCAAATCAACATCTCAACATTATGTACAACCCCTTCTGTGATTAGTAAGTGCCACAGACACATGGTTATTTATTACACTTTGACATGTAAGGATGACCATAAATCCTCAATTAAACATGTTTACGGAAGCCTAATTTAATAAAGAATGTTTCTTGCTGCTTTCTACAAATCTCAGGCTAAAGCTACTGAGAAATACACATACCTGCATGACTGTTGAAATGTGCAAAGTTAGCAAAATTGGCTGTGGCTGTTGACTGAGGAGCTGGAGCAGCAAAGATGTCTGAGCCAAGATCACTCAGAAGGTCAAACTGCTTCTTTTCCTGCTGCTGCCCTTGGGAGCGACCTACAACTGGGGACTATAAACCACACAACTATAAAGATTTTCCAGTCAGACCTACTGAACTTTTATACAGAACTATCTCCAATCCACAAGCTTTAAACACATCTATACATAATTATAGTGTGCTGACTTAACTCCTCTTCATTTCATTCACTCAGACTTTTGTGGGAAAAAAAATTACTCAGGATCCTTAGAAAGCACTACAAAAAGGGTAGGATTTTAATCTACAGTACTGGGGCCACGGATGTAGCTCAATGGCATTGCACCTGCCTGGCAAGCACAAGGTCCTGAGTTTGATTCCTGGTACCAAAACAATACAATAATCATCCACAGTACTGTCCTTTAGACCCATTCTTATACAGGATAAAAGTTATAATGCCAAACAAAGAAACAAAAAAAAGTTATAATGCCATACAAAAACAGATCCATCATAGCTCGTTAACTATAATGAAGTTGAAAAGAAGTCTAGTTAGAAACTTACAAAAAGACTTCAGATTTTTAGAATAAGATATACAGCAAAGCTACTAAGTTTCAGTAATAAATATGCCACATCATCAGGCATGTGGGAAAATTTTACTACTTCCTGTTAATGTACATCAGAGGCTACACTGCTCTGAAAGTCACCAGAGATTCATGTTTTACTAACTGTAGTCTATATGATACACACACCATTACTCATGTTCCCATACACTCTTAATGAAGCTGCATGGAAATCAAAGCAATCATAAAAAGAACAAAATACTGTACACATATACCTACCACTTACCCAACAATCTTTTAATGTATTATAAACCATTAGGACATAATGCCACTGTCATTCAAGGTTATGTCCCTATCTTATTAAAGAATTACCAAAATCATGGCACTCAATCTTCCCTAAGCATTCCCTACAAAGATTTAAAGACTACTCACTTGACTAGGTGTGCCCTTATTTAAGTGCAGTGCTGGTGCCGAATCTCCTAAAAGAGATTTTAGTGGTTTGACCTCAGGTGTGCTGCTTGTGCTACTGGCAGAAGACCCTGAAATAGATGCATGAACTGATGCCACAACCTTGGCTTGTTCCGGTGGTACATACCTAAAACACATAAAAATTAGAATAGGAAATCAGCTCAATTTTAATTTTGTATAAAACTGTTTCCATATTAATCTTATTTGAAAACTCTGAATTGACAGCTTAAGACATTTAACTGAAATATTCAAAGAAAGACTTAATAAAGACTAACTATAAAACTTGCTGCAATTATTTACTTATGGTTTTTGAAAGATAATAAATACTATGACTGCGTTCTTTTTTCAAACTGAAGACCTATAATTAACCATCATACACTTAATACTATACTGTAAGTTTTAAAAATGAAATTACCTTAAAATCATAACATTTCAAGAAAGATGAGAAGCATTTATTATATTATTAATAGTCTAAAATATAGAGGCCTATTATAAATGTAAGAATAACATCAATAACTTCATTTTAAAATGGACAAAACCAATTCACAAAAGGAAGCACAGGTAGGAACACTTAATAACGTATTAAAATGCAAATTAAGGTATTATCATCTTTAATCTGTCTGTGAACTTTGCAAATTTTCTGTTGCTATCTACTAAAATGTATGCTGTGCCCCAGATGACAGTACTTCCAGTAACTTATCCTTAGGAATTAACTGGACAAGTATACACAGGTATTAGGTATGTGTGCATGCATATTACCATAGCAATCTTTATAATTTAAAAACCTGGGGAGCAAATCAAACACCTACTAGAAGAAAACTACTTAAAAGGATTATGCACACACAAAAAAATAAAAAAATAAAAGGATTATGCACATATCTACATATACTGCGCAGCCAGGCATGGTACACATTCCGAGTGGGAGGAGGCTGTCATGAGTTTAAGGCCAAATTAGACTACCTTCTGAGATCCTGCCACAAGCAAACAAAATCTGTATACTACTCACAGCTACTCTGCTTTGACAGGGAAAGATGACCTATGACTTCACAGGTCTTTTCAGGTTCTACCTCAGTCATGTATATATAGGAGTCATGGGAGGGGGTGAAGGAAGCAAAGAGAGGAAGTTAAGAATACAATACCCAAATGTCAGCAATGCTGATAGCTAGGGGTAGGACTATTTGAGAGTTTTGTAATTCTGAGTTCACTCCCACCTTCCTCCCCACCCTCTGCATCAAACAGGTGGGGAAAATAGGAAAACAGAGTGGTTAAGAGTAACTGTCCCAGAGACAGAGTTCAAACCCCAGTTCCATCACTCAATGGCTACGAAACTGGAACAAATTACTACATCTCTATGCTCTTTTTAACCTATAAAATGAGGTGCAGATGCTGTGCGGTTTTTCAGCAGTTTCCAGTTCTTGGTATACTAAAACTACATACAGTGTTGGCTATTATCAAACCATATAACAACCACAAGCAACACAACTTTTTTCCCCCCAGTAAGTGGAAGAAATGACAAGAGATATGAAAATGAATACAAGAAGTTAATGCTTTCTTGTAATTTGGCATTCCCCTGACGGTATAAATTCCAGAATAATGCTATGTTTGATCCAAGATAAAACCTGATAATAAGTTTATGGCTCCACTTAAAAGGATTAAGCATGTCTAAGAAGTGATTCTAACATCCAGTCAAAAGAACAATTTCAAAATATCACTAGATATTCACAGCTCTACGGCTGTAAGAGTAGTTTCCTACAATAAATTCTCCCTTTTTTTTGAGATAGGGTCTCCCTATGTAGTTCACACTGGCCTTGAACTCACTACGTGGTCCAGGTTGATCTCAAACTCAAGGCGATCCTCCTTCCTCAGCCTCCCAAGTGCTGAGATTGTAGGCATGTGCCACCTATGAATGCTTTGGGACAGTGTTCATACCGTGTTTTAAAAAAAGAAAGAAAGAAAAAGATGTCACTGCAATTACATGCTACATATGTGCAAGAGCAGGAGTTAAAAATACATAGGTACACTCCTTGAAGCTTGTTCTTGTTATTACTGTCATGTTTCTTAAGAAAGAAAAAAAACACCAAATATTTATGGTTTTCAGTTATTTGGATTATAGCTTAAATGAGTAATTTATTATTTTTATAAATGCAGGAGTGGGGATTCACAGTTTTAATATTACCATAACATATTCACATTTTCCCTTATTATTTACACTCACTTTTCTCATTATAGCTACAGCTAACCCATCCAAGACCCTGGCTAAGTCCTAGCCAAAATGACTTTCTAAGCAAAGTAACACTGTTGAGAAAATCAAAAACTATGTTAGAGCTATGCACAGTGAACAATCTTACCTACAGGATGAAGGGTCTAGTGAATTAAGAACTAAAATGATAAAAAAAAAAGTTTTCAAGCTAAAAGATCATTTCTGCCACTGTATTTTTTATTATCACTCATGTTCTAGTAATTTCTTCTTTCTTTAGTTAAGATTGTACTGGTATTTCTACCTATATTTATGCCCCATGTACCCAGTTCAGGTGAACAGAGTTCTGGTGAATCTTGTTTTGGATGGTTAGTCCATTTTAGACAGCAGAAACAATACAAATTCTGGCAGAGCCTAGAAGTCAGAGCTAATACGCTTACTGAATGAAAGTACAGGGCTCTCCCCCATAAACCAGAGCAAGTGGTCTCTCGGAACCAAAACACTGCCGAGTATATCATTTCCTGGGTTAAAATGTTCCTCAAGGAAATGAGCAGCACTTTACTTCCCCCTATCTATTCCCTTTATTCTTGACTCTCTCCCCAATCTTCTTAAACTCCTAAGAAGGAAACATACCAGTACCAATAGCATCAAATAGAAATTTACAGTTAATAAATTTTACTCAACTGTACTTAAATTGTGCCAAAAGGTAAAAAATGGCAAACCCTCAGGAGTTAAGCACTACCTCCATGGATACAGTCCCTGCTCTGCTGTAAGGGACATACTAGCTTTATGTAAATCTGTATAGAATTCCTTTATAAAACATAAAATCTGGCAGATTTAGTTAGGGGAGTATAAATGCTCCCTTCTTAACCAGAAATAAATCGACACTTGGGTGGGACGTAAGAAAATACTGTATTTTAAGCAAAGACAATGCAAGATGCAATCAGATGGACTGAGCTTCGGCATAATGCCTAGGAACAGACTCAGAAAGGAGGCTTTATAGGACTAAAAATGTCTAGAGAGGCTAACAGAAAGGATTAGAAAGATCCTTAACCTGCCAAAAGGGTAGGAGTCCTGGTAACTAAAACAGCCTACTCCTAGGCATAGATGAGTTAAGATAAAGTAGAAATTAAGGTTTTTGGGAAACAAATCCAAAAAATGCCAAAGGATAATGTGAATCTACTGACTTACCTATTTCTTTCCTGCCTGTCTTCCTTACCTTCATTGTATCAGTTAGAGTGGTTTGAGGAAGCTTTACTCCAAATACAAACTATTCACTTACCATCTTTTCTTTTCATATTTTTCTTGTAGAAACTCTTTCACTTTTTGTGGATCCCTGAAGTCTGGAATTGCTGAAGATCTATCATCAAATAATCCTAACCAAATCTGTTTACAAACCTTTGGAAAGAATCAAAAGAAGAAACAAAAAAAAGTGTTAAATTCGACATCTCAAGATTTTAAGAGGAGGGGCGGGGGATTTAGCTCAGCAGCACAGCGCCTGCCTGGCAAGCGCAAGGTCATGAGTTCGATTCCCAGTACCGGGAGGGGGGCGGGGAGAAGAAGAAGATTTTAAGGGGAAATTATCATTCTTTCAGAAAGCAAGCCAACTTAATAATTTTAATACTTTTTTTTTTTTTTTTTTCTTGGTCCTTTTAAGACAGGATCTCCCTATGCAGTTCAGGCTGGCCTTGAGCTCACTATGTAACCCAGGCTTGTCTCGAACTCACAACAATCCTCCTGCCTCAGCCTCCAGGGTGCTGGGATTACAGGTGTATGCCACCATGCCCAGCCTTAATACTACTTTCAATGAGAATATTCAATATACTCAGAAGTGAATGAACTAAATTGACTTTCATATACTGCAGAATACTAAAATTTAGCAAAAGAATCATACACAAGACCACTTAGTAGACAAGTAATGAACCAAGATTTGAGAGGGTCTGGAGTTTTTTGGTCTAGAGATGATCATAAATTTTAACTATAAACACAGCTATGTAATCTGTATGAACTTCAGTTCTCTAACCCGTAAGATAGAGAAACTTCATCAGAAGCAATTTTATGGGCCCTTTAACACCCCAAAAGAACAAATACTGGAATCAAAAGTAACTTACCATTCAAGTATAACCATAATAAAGGGTTACAAAGATACACAAAGATCACAAAAAAGAACTATGAAGAAAAACACTGATAAGTGGACATCATCAAAATTAAACTGTCTGCTTCTCAAAATAACAAAAAGGCAAACAAGCAAGTGATCAAGTATTTGCAAGATGTATAAGAACTTAAAAAACCTGAAATCAGATTAAAAAAAAAATTGCCTACAACTCCATTATAAACACAAGACAATCCAATAAAGGGACAAAAAATTTCAACAATTATTTCAAAGATTTACACATGGCTAATAAAGTCTAACATAATGTCATATAGAAAATAAAACTTTACAGCTGAGTAATATTCCATTATATAAAAGTACCACAATTTTCTTATCCAATCCTCAGTGGATGGACATTTGGGTTGCTTCCACATTTTAGCAATTACAAATTGTGCTGCTATGAACATAGGTGCACATATATCACTGTGATATGATGTTTTTAGATCTTCTGGGAAAATACCCAGCAGGGGGATAGCTGGGTTGAATGGGACCTCTAGATCTAATTTTCTGAGGAATCTCCAAACTGATTTCCACAGTGGTTTCACCAGTCTCCATTCCCACCAGCACTGGAGAAGGGTTCCTATTTCTCCACAGCCTCGCCAGCATTTGTTATTGGTTGATTTCTTAATGCTAGCCATTCTTATTGGGGTAAGGTGGAATCTCAGTGTTGTTTTAATTTGCATTTCTCGAATGACTAATGATGTTGAACATTTTCTCATATATTTATTTGCCATTTGTATCTCCTTGTCTGAGAAATGTGTATTCATCTCCGCTGCCCATTTTTGGATTGGGTCTTTGAATTTGGAGGGGCTGAAATTTTTTAATTCTTTATATGTTCTAGATAGAAGGCTTTTGTCTGATGGACACTCAGCTAAAATTTTTTCCAAGTTTGTGGGTTTTCTTTTTACTTTGCTGCTGATTTCTTTAGATGTGCAGAAACTTTTCAGTAGGATGAGATCCCAGTTGTTGATTCTTTCAAGTGTTTCACGTGCAATTTGGTTTTTGTTCATGAACTCTCTGCCTACCCCTATGTCTTCAAGGTTTTTACCTACCTTCTCTTCCAATAGCTTTAGTGTTTCTGGTTTAATATTGAGGTCTGTGAACCATTTTGACCTGAGTTTGGTGCATGGTGATAGGCTTGGGTCTATTTTCAGTCTTTGGCAGGTAGCAAGCCAGTTTTTCAGGCACCATTTATTAAAGAGACTGTTGTTCTCCCAGTGAGTTTGATTGGCCCCTTTATCAAAGATTAGGTGGCTGAGTGTGTTTTTGGTTGTGGCTGTTTCTTCCAGTCTGTTCCATTGATCCTCGGGCCTGTTTTTTAGCCAGTACCAGGTTGATTTTATGACCGTAGCTTTACTCAGCTGTAAAGAAAGATAAACTCGAGGCTTTTATAGGAAAATGGTCACAACTAGAGACCATACTCATAAGCGAAATAAATCAAACATACATGTGCAAGCACCGCATTGTTTCTCTAGTGTAAAGCCTGAAAGAGTTAATTTAAACTAGGAGATATGATAGACATTGGGAATTGATAGGAAAGCACTCATAGGTAAAGGATAACTGGAATATGGGAAAAGAGAAGGAAAAGAAGGAGAAAGTTTGTATATATGTATATGCAGGATAGTTAACACAGGTGTTCTACTGTCCTGTATTTCCTTGCTGAAAGAAACTGTCAGTGAGGCACTGGTTGATTAGCTTTGTATGTCTATATGTGTTTTCATGAGAAACTACATTGAAAATATCAATATGTAATACAATAAGCATTGTTAATTCCCTACCACTCTGTTTGTAACTCTGTAATGTCTGTACTGATCCTTTGCTATTTTGTAAAACGTTGTCGATCTGTTAGTATTTTCCTCCTTTTATTTCTAAAATTAAAAAAAAAATAAAAATAAAATAAAATTTAAAAAAAGAAAATAAAAATTAACACCAAAAATCACCCACAATATAGACACCCATAGATAATATACCTATACAATACAGTAATCTATGCATCAGTAAGAACATGGGGGAGGAGGAGAAGACAGAGATAGGTAGGGGAGGGAAAAGAGAGGAGAGGAAGAGGAAAAAAAGCTCAGACTGTATGAATACTAACTCCCATTCAGTGACTTTCAAAAGGATTCTCCAGTTACCTGGATCAGCACCATCAGGGCCATCTAAGAACTTGCTGGAAATATAAATTATCAGGAGCCACCCAAGACCTGAGAAATTAGTACCTTAAGGTGATGTCCAGATAATTCTCAAGGAGGCTCAAACCTGAAAAACAGTGCTTCAGTGGTAGATAGGCCAGCAGACAGAAAGTTCCTTTCTACCCACAATTTTCATCTTTCCTAATCTCTGTATAGATGGATATATTCAAAACAAAAATTTTAACAGATGATTCCTTTCAGAGCACCTATTTCATGGAACCACAGAGAAAATCGCCCTTTTGGTATCTTGTGACCTATTCTCACATCTTGGCCCCTGAAAAATTGATTTCTGCTTGTATTATTTTCTTTTAAGCTCGTAGATGTGCAGATGAGAGATTAAGTCTCTTTTCTGTGTTTCAATAAAATAAATACCATCAACTGAAAAAGTGGTTTTTTTAAAGTTTGGAGCAGAGGAAGTGAAGAGACTGAAAAATGCACAGGTAGCATTATGGACCATGATCACGAATATTTACCATAAAACAGCTTCATGTGGCTGTTTAGGCACAAAGGTAGAATGATGGTTTTAAACAAGCAGAATACTATAGGTATGGAAAGGAGCTGACTATAGTAACAGATCATGGAATTTAAGCTAGACTAAGAAAAATGAAGACAAAAGTTTAGCAGAATGGAGGACTTGATTATCCCAAAATTACTGGCATTAGGTTTTAGAGTAAATGAGCTAGGAAGAGAAGATCAGTGGGAATCAGAGAATAGGATACTTGAAATCTGAGAGGTGATGTAGTTATCAACAAAAGGTCTAAAATGGAGTGAACAATCATTAGTGATAAAGACTCAGGATGTTATGTGAATGATCCACATGAATGTTAGGATTGTCAACAAATGATTAGTAGGGAAAAGATAATGTAGAGTGCTAAAATCCAAAATGATTTTGTTTGTTTGTTTGTTTTTTCTGGTACCAGGAATCGAACTCACGACCTCGCACTTGCCAGGCAGGTGCTGTGCGCCACTGAGCTAAATCCCCAGCCCCTAAAATCCAAAATGAAAAGGACTACCTGGTTTGACTCCAACAAGACAGAGCAGGTGATAAAACCTATTGACATGAGGAATATGGCAGGCCAGAGACTAAAAACAACAATATGGAACAATAATGACCCCTAAATGCCATCATTTGCACAGGTCGAACACTAATGAGATTAGTTCTGATGACCTCTTTCGGAGGAAAGGGGGGGATTATCAGTTCTAATTATAGCCCAATGTGGTTGGGGTGGCTATCAGCCTGGACTACAGAATCAGACTGCCTGAGATGGACTTCCAATTCTGTTCACTATCTGACATGTCTTGAAATGTGAAATGCAAGTAATACCAGAACTTACTTCATAGGGATGTTCGTATGTTAAGTAAGTTTATACCTGTTCGCTCTGGAACACGTATATATAATAAGCTTTAGTATTAGTTACACTTTGGGGCCTGATCTCTTAAAGAGTTCTGCGGCAGTGGGTTATGATGCATTGAGATAAGCAAGGGTTTGGAAGGGGAGGTCTTACTAAGAACACAGGAAACCGGGTCTCCCTTCAATCCTGCTGCAGACAAAATCAAAGTGGTCTTCAGAGAACCGCCTGCTTCCTCTACAGCACTTTGTACTTCTCATTAGAAGGTGCCTCATATTAGAACCTTATGTTCTCATTTAGTACTTCTGAATTCTCTGTAATGCTAAAATCAATAAATAAGTAGATTGATAACACTGTATTCAAAATCCTTATGGATGAATTTAAAAGAGAATTATACCAGCCAAAAGAATAATTCATGAAATTGTCAGAGTAATTTTTTCCTTATTCTTGTGCTAAACCATTTTAGAACTACAATCACAACAGTCAGTGACAGAATTTAAGTATTTTTAAAGTACTATATATGTGTTCAGGATTACTGTAGGAAACAGATGGCACGCTCAATTTGATTAAATTGAATAGTTTAATCAAAATTCTGTTACAAAGCATAGGTAGACTACAAGAAAATCCAAAAATGAGAGTGCAGTCTTCCAGGATAAGTAACAGTAGGATTTACCACCGCTCACTGGCAGTAAAAGGGCGGGGATGGGA